GGGGTGGAATGTTATATGGTTTTTTGTTTGGGTTTGTTGGAGGGAAATGGCTAGTGATTTCTTGTTTCCCATCCAAAAAACAATTTGGGGGAAGAGGCGAAAGGTGAGGGGGGAGAACTTTGTCTCTTCTAAAGTTTCTTAACTAAATGAGGAGAGGCAATCATTTTTTTCTCTTCTATCTTCTTCTCGCATACCTCCCATTCCAAGTGAAATACCCTCTTGGACATATTAACCTACATTTTTATTTCAATATTACTTTATTATCTACAATTTTTGTTGACTATCTTATAATTGGAACTAATTTGTTGTGATTTGTGAAGCTCAGGTTTCTAAGGAGATAAAGTATGCTGATAAGCTGCCTATTGTACCGTGGGGCCCCAGGTATGCTATGATGTTAATAGTCACAATATGGTTTAGTGTGGTCATTATAGAATAAAGGACCTTTAGTGTGTTGCTGCTTGATTCATAAAATTTAGCCACAATTTCACTGGTTAAGAATGATAGATAAGGGGCAAGGGCAATTAAAAGATTGTTTTTGTTCATTCTCTTGAAAAAAGATTAGGCAATCAAGAAATAAAAAAAAAAGTCATTCAGTGCAACCTATACATTTACTACCTTTTACTCCACTTTCAGTAAAACCAAAAACTAGGTAAGAGCATTTATACAATTTTTGTTTCACTCTTATTCTCAATGTCATTTTTGCATGGGAAGATGATATTTTCCATCTGTGTGCGTGTTTCCCTTTACTTATCATAATATGTTTTACTTCATGGTCTTGTTTTTATCCATGGACTTTTTTTTATGTCAATTGGAAAATGCAAAGGGACTTTATTTTCCTAAAGAGTAGCTTAAACTTGTGGTTTATACTTCAATTCTTTATATCTTCCATGTTGCATCAGTTAGATGTTATTTGGCTCAATCTTATTAATCTCTCAGGTTCAGCAAATCAGAAGTGAAAGACATACGAATTAATTTGGCACTTTCAGCTGTATTTGTAAGTAAAAATAATGCCTTTGTCTCTTTTGGTTGAGTTGGTTCCTTGACAATTTAATTATAACACACATTAATCCTCATGTTCCTATGTCATTTCCACAGACAACTTGGGTTCTTATCAAGCAGAATGCAATTATAACACACATTAATCCTCATGTTCCTATGTCATTTCCACAGACAACTTGGGTTCTTATCAAGCAGAATGCCGACTGGAAGCCTTTGCAATTCTTGGCTTTCGTGTTTGTGTACAGGATTTTTGAAAAATTAAAATCATTGGAGCCTCCTCAATCCCTCGTGTTCACAGTTAAGTTTTTTATCCTTTTCTTTTTGTTCTGTTAAATAAATATGTGATAATGTCATGGGTTTTAAGAAACACAATCGATATTTTTGTATATAATGTTGTCACACAGGAAGCGGAGGATAATGGGCGAATGTTAAGGATGGGTAGAAGGCTTATTCGTTCTCTTGGCCTAGCATTCGGGTGCATTGCTGTTGCTTCTTTGGTATGTTTTCCACATTGTTAGAGTGTTAAAACATTCTTGGGCATTCAACCACAAGCTTGATCTTTTGATTGAGTTGGTTTTATGACATGATGCGAAAGTCTCATTGTGCACTCCCTAGTAGAAAGGCCCCTAATTTATTTGCCGCCTGGTGCTTTAAAAGGTAGAAATGCTATTTTGGATTTGAGAAATGCTAAAGTCACAAACAAAAAGTCACAAAACACAAACTTGCCATTTATGTATTTAAATTTCTACTTTTTTAATGACTTGTTGTAATTGCACCACTCCAAGTTCTGCAGTGGTGTAAGAATGTAAGATCGTGACATCAGTTAAATTGGGGCACCTAAGCTGCTTTGTTCGTAAAATTGACGTTCTTACCCCTCATAACCGCTTCATAAACCTCCACCCCGACCTCACCCCCTCACGACCACCCTAGCCCCTGCAATTGCCCCAATTTAAGACCATTGTCTTTTTAGTTTCACAAATAGTAAGATCATTTTAACTTGCATTATTTAAACTATCTTCATTGACAACATGCAGGGATACACAGGCCTCCTAAATTTGATTGAATCAACTGGTCGTTTTATTCCGGCTATTATTTACAACAACCAGGTACTCAACTACTCAAGAACGCTCCTTTAACGTTTTAATACAATCTTTTGTGTGAAACAAAACACAAGTTGTGTTTTGGACTCTTATTCTCATTTTACTAAGACAGCCAAATATTTTTGGCCAGGAACCAATCGTAACCGCTGCAACAGCCGTCTTGCTTTACATCGTGGCATCATATTACCGATGATGATGATGATGATGATGATGAATATTGTAGATTTGCGTGTCCACAGCGCAGTTTGTTAGAAAATGTGTTCTTCATCTGCTGGGGTGGCTGCCATTGATAATGAACAAGTCTCAAAATCTCTTTTGGAGGTTGTGAGGATTGATCAAAATCTTGTACCAACCAAATATGACGAAAAAGAAGAGCCTTATGTTTTGTGAGTTTTAAAACGTCTCTCACAAACAAAGTTCATAGCGCAACTCTTCCCAAAAGATTTCCTTGTTTTCCGTTTTGGGTAGTCTAAAAAAGTTGTGCAGATTTTATAATATTTTTAGGAAGAATATTTTATATTTAAAAGGTTTTGCTATTTGGTTAGTCGGTTTTTCAACTTTTTTTGTAGTACACAAACACTTGTTGTCTGTCTGTGTGTGTTTGTGATACATATGGTGCGCAAATTAGGATACAAACTTGGTATACCTCTAGATTCTTTCTTATAATTACTTTTCAAGTTTCGCCCAACAAAAATGCATGGAGTACACCATTTTGTATCTCAATTTTCACACCACACCACATCCACCATACATTTCTCATGGGATGGATAAAAATTGAAGAATGAGTAAAAAATGCGTGATGAATCAGGGCCAGCCCCGAGAATTTAATAGTCCTCAACGAGTTAAAAAAATGACTCTCGGTCTTAATAAATTAAATTATATAAACCATTTTATTTAAAATTACTATTTATGTTATGGTAAGATGTGTAACAAAATTGCAGTATTACAATTCAATATCGTAATACTTTAAAAAATTAAGTTTTAAAATTTTTTATTAAAAAAATTATACTACGTAGTATAATACTCTCTCCATTCCAATATTTATTACTCCCTCCGTCATAACATTAACTTCGTATTTGATATTTTATGGTCTCCAATTCAATATTTTGACCATTAGTATCTCCATTTATATATAATTATATATTATAACAATAACACAATTTTAAAACTATGTTTCAAAATGAGTATATGGATATTAAATTCATAAGAATATTCAATATATTTTTTCGTAACATGCTGTCACAAAAAGTTTGACCACAACATTTTGATGTTTCACACTGACACAAAGTTTTGGTATGTTAAAAAAAATTTACACTGACGCAAAGTGTTAGTGCGTTAACAAAAATTTACACTGACACAAAGTGTTAGTGCGTTAACAAAAATTAGCATTACACCAACACAAAATATTAGTGTAGACTTGCAATGTACAAATGAAATACAAAGTCTTGGTGTACAAATAGTTTTATCCTTTAACCTAAGTAGGGATAAATTTAGCAACCCCAAATAAGAATTCTACCGAATAAGGAATCTACGTCAGAATTATTAATTCAACAAGGCCCTAACCATTTTTGGCCATGAGTATTCGAAAGTGTCACATTTTCGGTCAAATAAGATTGCTGATTTTTTTTTTTGAAATAACTGCATTAATCTTCCACCTCATGTGAAGCTCATGCATTTCATCACCTATCCCTTCTTCCATCTCCACACAAAAATCACACTAATCCTTTTTCTATCATACTGTAAATTTCTATCAGAGATTTGAACATGGGGGAAATTCTAAGGTATACCTCTGCATTTATTTTGCTACATTTTTAATCCTCCATATGATGTCACATTTGGGAATTCTCTTCAAAGGGATCTTTACAACAGCAAAATTACAAAAAGATCCTTGATGGGGTTTTGGAGTGTTGCTTCCCACTTGTGGGAAATCATACGTGTGTTCTGAATTCATTTGGGAGATGTCATAATCCCAATTCATTTGGGACTTTATACATCTCTGCCATTTTCTTGTTGGTTTGTGGTGCAGGTGAGAGGGTTTTGATTGAGTTCTGTTGAAGGGTTCTTCAGATTTGCATATTCCATTCTCAGTTTGAACTTTGGCCATTTGAGCTTCTTCTGCTTCATCAGGCTTTCAAGTAGTAAATATAATCCTTTATTTGTGTTTCTATGCATATTTTATATACCACTGTTTCAATCAATGTGCAAGTTGAGCTGGAGACTGGAATGAGTACATATGATTTTTGTTTGTGTTTTCCTTCCAATTCTTAGGAGGAAAATGCTACTTTAACCCCATGTATGACACCAAGGTCGACACGCCATGAGAGACAATCACACACATACAATCATTGTCTATTATGTTTTATGGTCTCTCAGAAATTGTTGTCTTTGAGAAATTATTGTCTATGAGAAAGTATTGTCTTTGAGAAGTTATTGTCACTGAAATGCTGGTTGTGTCAACCTTGTTGTCCTGAGAAAGTATAATTGTATAAAATGCAGTTTTTAATGAGTTCATATACTACTATTGTACTACACTTTCTATTTGGTCATTGACTATTTGGTGACTCTATAGAGGAGCAAGAGTTACTTTATCATTTACCAGGCTTCTTTTTTCCCATGTTTTACATAATTTCAAGACTTGTAAAGCCGTAGTGTCCCTAAAAGATTAAACGCGTTACGCTGTTTTATTTGCAATTATTTCAGGCAGAATGGTGACAAGAACAGTGGACCTCCGGTCGGACACAGTGACTAAGCCAACGGAAGGAATGCGGGCTGCAATGGCAAGTGCTGAAGTAGATGATGATGTGTTGGGCTATGACCCAACAGCCCAACGTCTTGAAGCTGAGATTGCTGCGGTAATGGGGAAAGAAGCGGGCCTCTATGTTCCTTCGGGCACCATGGGTAACCTGATAAGCGTGCTCACTCATTGTCCGATTAGGGGAAGTGAAGTGATTCTTGGTGATTATTCACATATCCACATTTATGAAAATGGTGGCATCTCCACCATTGGAGGCATCCATCCAAGGACAATAAGAAACAATGATGATGGGACGATGGATCTTGATCTCATTGAAGCCGCAATCCGAGATCTTAAATTTGAATTATGTTTTCCCACCACTAGACTCATCTGCTTGGAGAATTCACATGCACAGTAAGGGCTGTGTTTTCCTTTTTGTTTATCTGGTGCATCCTTAACATAAAGTTACTCCACACAATCTCTGAGATAAGCTTTAGGGGTATGAATGGGTCATTCATATGCAAATAGACTAATGACTACTACGTATTATGCACACTTTCTTTTTTGGTATGTATCAAATTAATCTTCATATTCATTTTTAGAGAATAGAATGTGTGGTTTGTAATCTTCAACAACAATTTCTTAAATTGAAAATGGCATTACCAAACGCGGACATAGTTTACATGCTCTCTAACAAATATCAAATTCACTCATAACTTCATGTATGAGGTAACACTAATCCATATACCTTTTGTCAAGCACTTACTAACAAGTGTTATCTCATTACAGCTCTGGTGGTAGATGCCTCTCAGTAGAGTATACAGACAAAGTTGGAGAATTAGCAAAGAAACATGGCCTCAAACTTCATATCGATGGAGCCCGCATTTTTAATGCATCTATCGTGAGTATAACCGTTTGCCCTTTTCCAAATCTTAGTGTGATGGTGTCATTGCAATCTCTAACAAGCTTGAGTTCCCATTTAGTTTCTTGATATGAACCTACAAAAATATTCATTTGACTTAGAGAGCTAGCTAAGACATTTCAAGGATCAAATTTAGATAGCATGAAGATGAGAATTGCAACAATGTTGAAAAATTTTCTTAAAAAATGGGCAAAAGTGTGCGCTATGGGTAGAAGGACTTGGCAAGAGAGCATTTTTGTGAATGACCGAATTGCCATTTGGATGGTAGTTTTCACCCAATATATGTCCTTCACATTGCCATCTTAATTGGATGAATGAATTTCCAGGCACTCGGTGTCCAACCTAGCAGGCTTGTGCAGGCTGCAGACTCAGTTTCTGTAAGTTAGTCATTTGCTTCACATTGTTATTGTTCATTGTCTGTGACAAGGTTGGGGGCGCCTTCGACATTCTCTATTACAAGATTTGCAGGCATGGCTTTTATACCAAAGATATGTGCAGGTTTGTTTGTCAAAAGGGCTGGGTGCTCCAGTAGGAAGTGTTGTCGTTGGTTCAAAGAGCTTCATTGACAGGGTAAACTAGCATACGTTTTTACAGTGAAAAATGTTTGTTTTTTAATCGTTGCATTTAAAACTCCCACGCATTGCCAATGGACCTAAAAGAGTTATCATTAACAATGTTTTAGTTTCGGACACAAAGGGGGTCCCGGTGACCTCAAACTTAAAACCTTAGGGTCCGTTTGGTATACGGAATTGATGGAATTGGAATTGAAATTCCATGGGATTCAATTCCATAGAATTGAATTCTGCCAATTTCAATTCATTTTTTGCACTATCAATTCCAAATCCACATAATTTTTGTGATACCAAACACCAGAATTGGAATTGATGTCCTCAATTCCAATTCCATAGTTTGAATTCCGTGTACCAAACGGGACCTTACAGTACTATTCTCTTTGGGTCTTGTTTTTTCCCTTTCTCTTTGAAGGCAAAGATCATGAGGAAGACCTTAGGGGGTGGGATGAGACAGGTTGGCATCCTGTGTGCTGCTGCACTCGTTGCGTTTCAAGAAAACGTTTGTAAGCTCGAAGGGGACCACAAAAGGGCTAAGCTTTTAGCCGGTAATCAATCTTCTCCCCTCTCCACTCAATACCTTATTTGAGGATCACACATTGGTTCACCATTCCATTTTCCTTGAAACATGAATTTTTCAGAGAAACTTGACAAAATAAGTGGGCTCAAAGTTGATGTTGCTGCCGTTGAGACGAACATCGTAAGATGATTAGCCTATTTGATGTCAATTTTTTTTATATTTATGTTTCCCTGTCCCCATACAATTTAGGCTAATTTAAAACAATGCAATATTGGATCATGCGATTAGGTATACTGCGATATACTTGAGGAGGCAAATGTAACGGGATCCGAGTTATGCAAGACCTTAGCTGGACTTGGCATTCTTGCCTTTCCAGAAGGCCGACTAAGGTGCGTGTGTGTCTGTGTGTGTACATTTTCACTTCTCAAAGCCAAAGTTGCCATGCTCTATCTGTGTTTCAGAGATTTGTTTAAACCAAAGCCCAAACAATTTTAAAAGCATATTTATAAAGTGTTAAAACAAAATATAAGTGTTATTCGATCTTCATTAGTATGAGACCTTTTGAGAGGTGTCTCAAAACAAATCTGTGAGGTTACTCAAAGCATACAATATTGTCATATATATATATTTATATAAATATTGATGCTGGTACAATGCTGCGAATGCAGAATCAGGTTTGTGATTCACCACCAGATTTCGGATTCCGATGTGCAGTATGCAATATCCTGCATTCAGGTACACAAAGGACTAATATGGACTTCTCTTTTTAGCCTACTTGTTGAAACTCCCACTTTGAAAGTACACATGAATGTGACATAGCGAGTACGAAATGTGATATGTGACAAAAATATTGGGACAGTAAAGAAAATGTAAAAATTGACGAGAATATTGAAAGGGATGGAATGTTTTGTACTCTGTATAATCACATTTTATTTCCCAAGCAATACTTATGTTGGTTTATATTATGTCATGTCAAACATACACAGAGAGCTATGGCAAGAGGAGTGGCAAACGGAGATTGTAGCCATTGAAGCTATGCCTTATGGTCTCTTTCTCCTTCAACAATTTCTACTTTGGTACGGAGTATTTGGTAAATAATTCCATCCCAAGTGCCTTTCCAGTTTTTGTATTCTAAGAAATGAATCTGTAACAAAAAATTGTTGTGAACTTAATAAATATTTCTCTTTTTTTATCGAGAAATTTTGGTATATTGTGACATTTTACGAGGGAGATGTATGTGTTGGCAATTAATTGGATTGTAATATTCTCATCTTGGCAACTTCCAATTAATTGAATAGTAGTAAATTTCAAAAAATGATCTTTTCCGATGAGGTGTTTTTACAAATTAGTACTCAATAAGTTCTAATCATCTACATTGTAATTTATAATCAAGATTTATTATCTAAGTAGTCTTTCAAAGTAGATTCTAAAATTGGTCATTTCTATACAAATTCATGTAAAACTAAAGTAATCATTGATTATACATAATATATGAATTATTTAAAATCTATCAAATTATTTTAAAATTTGAACCAAATACATCTCTTTAATTAGAAAAGAAACATTCTGGGAAAATAGTTTGTTTGGAATGATAAATTTGTAAACTTATTCTATGTTTAGATGATAAAAAATATCAAAGTACCTTCCACTTAATTAATATTTAAGTGGCATTTTTGCGGGAACTACTTAAGAAATAAATCTCAATTACTTCGTATAAAGTATCATATATATAATCTGAACTTATTGAAAACCAATTTGAAAAAAATATCAGAAAAGACCATTTTAGAAATTTACTCAATGAGTTTATAAGACTTTGAATTGAACTATACAATAAATTTGATTTAATTTTTTAGTGTGATTTCAACCGTTATCATTTGACTAAGTATGATTTATGAGTTCGTATAGGCAAAATATAGTGTTAGAAAATTAAGAGGTCACAGGTTCAAATTTCATCACTATCTAATTAGGAGTATAAAATAATTTGTGGTAAAATTTTGGTTTGCAATTTATTTGGGCCTTGTCAAGTGGACCACCTTGACCTCCTATGGGCCAGCCTTGTTATTAGGGTCGGCTGGATCTAGGGCCTAGGAGTGGGGTGGATCCAACTTCACTCAACTTTAAAAGGGTTAATTAGCTCGCATTCAATTAAGGTTTTGTTTTGTTTAATTTATTTTTTCAGCTTATTATTTATTTTTAATTAAAATCAGATCATATATGATTTTAAATATAACTATAATCATATCAGACTAGGTCTTCAAAAAACCAAATCAAATCAAATTATGCTAACAGAGCACATCCTAAGTTATTTTCTAATCCACTTTATCAAGAGGTGGAAAAATTGACCACATTATCACATGAATTTTTATCATATTAAAGATAAATCGTATTAGCAATTTACTTATATACCTCTAACCATTTCGTAAATAAATGAACATTTTTTTGTACATTTGTGTTCCTAAACACTACGTTTTATTTAAACGTGAACAAGTTAACTTTGATATTAGTATTAATTTAATATTCAATTGTAATACATTGACATTTTCTACATATATCATGCCGAGGTTTAAGTGTTTAACACTAATTTTAGCATTTAACTATTGAATGCTATTTACATAAAAATCAACTTAATCAATTACTCAAACTTATTAGTACGTACTAGTTATTTTGGTTAATGTACTAAATTCTTGACTTGTGATGGACATGGTGGCGGTTACGTCTTTCATATTGTGTGCCCTCATGGGTTAACAAGTGCTAGAATTATATATTGACATTGTACTCACATTCAAAACATTAACAAGTGCTAGAATTATAGATATATTTTAAAAAAACAGTTCCACTTCCATTTTTATGTATCCTACAAAACACATTTACTTAAAAGTTGGATGGAGGGGGCACAAAAAATTACTTCCGAGTATCATGTATTTTTTTTGTAATAGTAGTTATCAGGTCCCACATTATCTTAAATATACTTCAGGGTACCTCAATTTTTTCGGTAAAATTCTCAAGTCTCACTTTATTCGAAATAAACTTCGGGTTCTTAACATTTGTAAAATTATATTCTGAGGGTACTTTCTCTCAATTTAGGCGTTAGATTAATGGTTCTTTTATACAATGTCTTGGATCGAAAATCTTTCCGACAGGAGAAGGTCAGGCGACGTGTCCGCAGGTGTGTAGCGGCGGTGCAAGATGGTGGCAGATCAAATGAACAATAATCACTCTAGGGGAGGTCACAGGATCATGTGGTCTTGGTTTGAGGGGATGTTTGTTAGGATACAAACTAATCCCACATCGGAAGAAAGAGGGAGAATGAACCAAAAAATATTTGTTCACTTAGCTCAATTAGTATGAACCTTTTTGGAAAGTGCCCAAAAATAAATCCGTGAGATCTTGATCCTGAGCAGATAATATCATACTAATGCAGGGTTGGCGTGAGGACACGTGGAAGACGCTACTCATATTTAGAAGTACTTAAACATTCTCTTGGGCATAAATTGAGGTGATGAAAGGCAGAGTGATAATTAGGGTCATGATGATTGATCATTTGATCCCTCAATTATTTAAATATATAATCCCTCCATCTCATACTTCCTCCGTCCCAGAAAATCTTTCTCCTTTCTTTTTTCATCCGTCCCAAAAAACACTTCTCATTTCTATTAAAAAGTCACTTTTACCCCTTACTTTTGCATACCCTACCTATCATATCATACCTTTTTACTAATAATCTATCCATCAAATCATACTTACTCATCACATCAAAGGACATTTTTGGAAATTCAATACCAAAATACACTACCCTTAAATCTCCCTTCAAAATCAAAACTCCCATGTTTTTCGGGACGGAGGGAGTATTATTTTCTATGTGACTGTTTATGTTCTCTAACATGCCATTTTATTCATTAATATCAATATCCATATACATATAAATATAAACTATAATATTAGATAGATATATATGAATAATAAATACTCCCTCCGTCCTATAATGATCATCCCGGTTCATTTTACGAAGTTTGACCGACTTTATTTTCAATTCAATTTATTTGATTGTAGGTGTAAAATTAAAAAATAAAAATTATATACTTAAAAACTACATTAAAAGTTCAACAAAACAAGTGGTGACAAAACTATATTATTTTATCAAATACCTAATGAAAATAAGTAAAAAAAATGATTAAAGTTTGACCGTGTAAAAAGTGTGTGGGAAGAACATTATAGGACGGAGAGATTAATTCTCTATAGTGGGGTGGTGTCAAAATGTGGTATCCCTCGAGCTTTCTTTTCTTGATTAATTAAGGTTGTCGTTATTTTGTGTCACGAGGCCGCAATCAAAGGGGCAAGATTCTCGTAAAAATCTCATTGGACTATATCAAGACTTTGTCAGGAAAAGTTTGAGTATGCATTTACGTAGTATAACACAATTTGAGGAAACATGTATGTTGGTTGAAGTGTCTTTTCACCACCAGTACGTCTCCGCATGCATATACATATATATATATATATATATATATATATATATATATAGAAATTTACCTAAATAGGACTAAAACATAATGACTTTCCTAATGTATGATCATATGTTTTTATTTCCCAATGTAGGATCTTTGGTCATTATCACGAAGTCATTATTCAACTAAATGTGCATCATTGCTGGACATTATTCCTTCCACTAAGTCATTATTAAGTTCTATTTAGAGAATAAAAAAGTTTAAGTCCTACATTAGGAAAGTCATTATGTTTTAGTCCTATTTAGTGCAAATTTCACATATATATATATATATATATATATATATATATATATATACATACATACATACATACATACATATATATATATATACATACATACATACATATATATATATATATATATATATATACTCCCTCCGTCCCCAATTTGATTACAAATTGCGGGTTACGGAGTAAAACTTTCTACTTTTTGAAATCATTTTATTTACAAATTGGTATATCAATAAGAAATAAAAATTACATATTAAAAAACTACGTCAAAAGTTCTACAAAACAAGAGGTCACAAGAATATTTTATTTTATCAAATACTTAATGAAATTGTGTAAACAAACAAAAGTTATCGAGATGAGAGAGAAAAAAAATTGTAATCTATTTAAGGACGGAGGGAGTATATATATATATATATATATATAGAGAGAGAGAGAGAGAGAGAGAGAGCATGGCCATCCCTACACTGGCCTCTTTGTTGACAATGTGCTTGGTCCAAGAAAGTGAAAGTTAAGTCGTAGCTAGTTAGGGGAGCATTTCGAAATGGAAATTTGAGGAAAATTTATTGTGATACTCCGTATAATCTAATTGAAACTTATGGTACTCTGTAATTTAATAGAAAAATGTTAGGGGTACACCAAATGTGTACCTCATTTGTCCCCCACCACCTCTTTATCCATAAAAAAAAGCAAGTAATTCAAAAAAAAAAAAAAAATAAAAATAAAAATGTGTGGTGGAGAAGGGGAGGGTGTATATTTGGGGTACACATTTGGTGTACCTCTAGCATTCCTCAATTTAATATTCACTCCTCTTATTATCTTTTACTCTTTTCGTCCTACAAAACCTTTCTGATTTTAATTTTTAAAGGATTTACGGGGAGTGTATTTTAGAGTTAAAATTCCGAAAATGTCCTTTAATGTGATGAGTACGTGATAAAAAGATTAATTGTGAAAAATGTGTGATATGATAAGTCGATTTAGAATTAATAATATTAAATAAAACTTTTTAATAAGTAAGGTATGAATTAGTAGGGTAAAATGATTTTTGAAAAGAATCTAGAAGAGGAGTGAGAAATAGTTTGTGGGACGTGGGAGTATATTTGAATGAGCACGGAAATTAAGAAAAGTAAAATTTTGTAGTTGAAAGTCTGTAAAAGATAGAAAAATTTTGTAGTTGAAAATGTGTAGTTGAAGGCACAAAAAGTTTACCTAATTAATATGGAAAATGGAAATGTAGAAGCCTTACTTTTGGATAAATAAGAAAAGACTGAAAACATTATATGGCTCTTCACAATGTGCAAAGTGTGCATCTGCACTAGGGGCAGGTTCAGGTCAGAATGCACCTTGGTGAAAGAAATAAGAATAAAATCTAGCCTTTGGATCGGATGCATCGTGCGGCTCAGATTGCATCCTGCACTCAGATTTCGAGATAGTGCATTTTCAAAGGATTTTGATGCATTTTTAAACCATTTTGGTGCACCTAATTTTGATGCAATCTTGACCCTTAGATAACACAATCCAAAACACCAGATTTATTCTTATTTCTTTCATAAGATCTCATTCTCATCTGAACATATATATATATATGTGTGTGTGTGTGTGTGTGTGTGTGTGTGTATAGATTTTGATTCTGGTGAGAATGCAATCTTAGGAGAGAAATGAGAATGAATCTGGTGCTTTGGATTGTGAGATCTAAGGGTCAAGATTTCATCAAAATCAGATGCACCAAAATGGTTCAAAAATGCATCACGTCGAAATGCACCATAAACCTTCAAAAATGCAATATCTCAAAATCTGAGCGCAGAATGTAATCTGAGCCACACGATGCATCAGATCTGACGGCTAGATTTTATTCTCATTTCTCTCCACAAGGTGCATTATCACGGGAACCAGCCCCGTGAGAATGTACCTTGTGGAGAGAAATGAGAATAAAATCTAGCCGTCAGATCTGATGCATCGTGCGGCTCAGATTGCATCATGCGCTCAGATTTTGAGATAGTGCATTTTCGAAGGTTTATGGTGCATTTCGACGTGATGCATTTTCGAACCATTTTGGTGCATCTAATTTTGATGAAATCTTGACCCTTAGATCTCACAATCTAAAGCACCAGATTCATTCTCATTTCTCTCCTAAGATTGCATTCTCACCAGAACCAAAATCTCTCTATATATATATATATATGTGTGTGTGTGTGTGTATGTATGTGTGTATATATATATATATATATATATATATATATATATATATATATATATATATATAGACACACACATGAAAAAAATATTTTGTCATATTGGACCCAAACGTCTATTTATGAAATACTTACGGAGTATTTTTTTAAAAATTGAAGATTAGTTATCCAATATCTAAGAATTGAAGATGGAACAAGGCCGGCCCGGGGTGGGCTGAGTAGCCCTAACACACCAGGCCCATTCTTTTTGGGGGCCCATTGTTTTTTAAAAGTCTCTTGTCCCAATTTGGTTTACTCTAGTTTTTCAAAAGCTAAAATGCTGAGGCCAGGTGGGGTTCAAACTTCAAACCCATACTCCTCCTTTGGCAAAGATTATCAAATAAATAGTTCATCGAGATGAACTACTTGAGTAGTTGTTACTAAATCATGTATAAACAAATATATTGCTACAATGATTTTCACTACATCGATTCAATTCATACTGTATAAGCGTAATAGAAAAAATCTACTTTCTCCGCCCTACAAAATCTTTCTTCTTTCTTTTTTCATTCGTCCTAAAAAAATCTTCATCTTTTCTATTAAAAAATCACTTTTATAATTCTTAACCTACCTATCTATCATGTCACACTTTTTATCTATTACGGAGTAATTTTATTCATATCATCTTACTTTATCTATCACATCAAAGAATATTTTTGAAAAGTCAACATCAAAATGCACTCCCCTTAAATCCTTCAAAAGTCAAAATGAGAAGTTTTTTAAGGGACAGAGAGATATTAAACTAATGATTGCTAATATGTTACCAATTAATGATTCACTGGTTATCATTTTGATTTGAATTTTGAAATTTTCACTAATTGTATTATTTAGTCCGTGACCTATTCTTTTGAATATAAGAATAGTAAATCACTGATTCAAAAAAAAAAGTTAAAACTCGATACGGAATATAATTCAATTGATAGGGATTAAGCGCCCTTTTTTTGGTCTCGTGCCAGGCCATAAAGTTCTCGAGACCAGCCCTGAGACGAAATATACAGAATATAAAATCATCTGTAATTATGGACCAAGAATTTACATCAATTTTTATTACTCCGTAAATAACACGATATACAATTATAAATACATGTTTTGTTTTTAACTTTCATCAAAGTTAGGCAGTAAAACTTTAGATTCCAAATTAGTGAAATTACATATTCAAGAATTTCAAGCTCTCTGCACATGCACGATACCACACACTTAATTCATGCCATTTGATGGTTCCGTTAAATGTTAATGATTCTCGTATGATCTGAACTGATTAGATATGACATTTTTTACCCCGATCAGATCTCATTCCATTTAAAGTTAAAGCTATGAGCATTTCTAACTGATATGATATAATTTGATGTAATTTATTCTGAATCTTTGTCATCTAATTTGAATGTAAAAATCTAAAATTTCATCAAATCCGTAATGAAAATTGATAATAAAAAATAATTAAAATTTGACAATGTGAATAGTGTATGAAGACTTATTATTTTTTGAGTGGAAGGAGTAAATAATAAGAGAGTACTTTTTGTCGCATTAACATATATATTGTGTCAATGTAAATCATTGAATTAGTGCATAACTTTAGTAAATACTCTCTCTGTCCGCCATATATCTTCCCAAATACTATTTATAGGGTCAAACTTTATTCACTTTGTTTGTTTATTTTTACTACTCATTTCATAAAATAATATAGTTTTGTCACATCTAGTTTTGTAAAACTTTTCATGTAGTTTATTACTATATAGATTTTATATTAAAATTTTATCTCTATATTCAAATAAATTGTATTGAAAATAAAGTCGGTAAAGTCTCGTAACACGCAATGGGAAGATCTTAGGTGGACGGAGGGAGTACTTTTGAATAAATTTCACAAATAAGTATCTCTAACATGGTTGTTTATCAATTCGTATGAATTTGTCATGTACTTCCTCCGTCACTAAATGTTTGTCATACTTGTATTCCCGAGGTAAAATATTAAATTTTTTTCAATTCATTTTATTTTTACATATTGGTATATAAATAAAAAAATAAAATTTACAAATAAAATTTTTTCGAAATAAGGGATGTCAAGAATATTTTATTTTATCAAATAAGCAATGAAGATGTAGAAATAAATAAAAATTTTTGTGAGTGTTGAAAAAGCAAGTGTGACAAATATTTTGGGACAAAGAGAGTATTTTCCTAGATTTTGTTGCTTAGTATTACCGACAACTGGTGTTTTCTACTTATACGGAGACAACGGAGTATAAATTTGTACTTTTATGGTGACCTATTTTGGCACAGCTGGCTGCTATCATTGATTTGCACGTATGCACGTTCCAATTTTTCAAACTTACTTCGTTGTGATTCACTTTGTGATTAAATTTAATAATTTATCCTTTTCTAAGTAAACCAATTCTAATGAGCCTAGAGAGATGGAGTTCATCTTTTTTTTTTAATGAAAAAGGGAAATTTTGAAAAGTGTTTCTATTAATTCTTAAAGTAAATTATGTAAATGATCATTTATAATATAAAATTTTCTATACTTAGTCATCTATTATTAATTATATAATGAAACCGTCGTTTGTAACCGCTGTGAATGGATAACAACAGTTAATACCGTCGTTTATCAGCGGTTACTTCCATTCCCTTCACCTCTAATTGTCCCCTTTTATTTGTCACTGTAACATGGTATGTACCTACAGTCAATTTTTTGGTGGTGTGGAGGGTTATATCAGTCATCTTTTTTTTTTTATGCTTAAAAAAAAACATGCATATTTGCCCAGTTTAAAGGTGAATCTTTGCATCAAACTAGAAAAGGTGAATATGTGCATCAAACAAGAACATTTTCATTTGAACCAGAAAAGGGGAATATTTGCATCAAATTATCTAGATATCCAATTCCAGGTCAAGATTGTGGGTTCAGAACAAGAATCTGCTGTCCAAACCCCAATCACCGACCTCTGGTCTCAAACTACAGAATCTAAATTGTTTTGTGCCATAAAGAGGATTCAACAAAGAGAAGTTAGGTTTGAGAAAGCAAATTCGCAGTAAATGTAAAGAAAATTGAGCGTGTAGCTAACCTTAATTTCTAGCCTAGGGCTTGAGGGATCTGAGATGCTAACAGCGTTTGCTCTCGTGACCGTACGGAGATAATTCTCGCACAGGGCCGGTAATTACAATCGTCGACGTGACCTGAGAATAGGACGACGACGACAAGATGCTCGCTACAGAGAATGCGTCGAACTGTGGGAACTGAGCGAGGGGTAGTCTATAATAACCAGCGATCTATGTTAATTTGGGAATTGCTAGGCAAAGTAACCAGCGATGTATGTAATAAGGCGGATATTTTTTTTGGAAAATCCTAAGAATACACCAAAAGTGTACCCCAAACATCCCCTCTCCATCCATCAACACAAAAAAAGTAAGAAAAATTCAAAAAAAAAAAATAAAAAATAAAAACAAAATAAAATGAATGGCAGAAAGGGGAGTGGTGTACATTTGGGGTACACATTTGGTGTACCCCTAGCATATTCCATATTTTTTATGGGCCGGGCAATATATTCTTGAAAAATTAGGGGTGCGGTGCTATTTTTTGTATGCGCGCCTTTTTTGCCCCAAAAGAAAAGACAACGGTTATGAAATATCCGCTTTGTAAAATGTGCTGTTAAATATCCATTCTGTAGTAGTGCAAAGAAGTACTCATGTCTCAATTGGAGCCGATTGTTGGGGAAGCACGGAACAAAACACAACGGAAGCGTATAAAATCTTTTCCCCAAATTAATGAGATGAATAACAAGCACAATGAACTCTGAAAAATCGGCAGCACACACACAAATAAATGGCAGCGATAATAAATTAGATGACACACGATTTACGTGGAAACCCCAAATCGGGGAGAAAACCACGGCCGCTCAACAACGGCTCCCAAACTTCCACTAATCACCAAGAATCAAGTGGGTACAACAAGTTCTCCTCTCTAGTAAACACTAGAGGCATACACAATCATCAAGGAGCAACCTTGGAACAACAACAATCAACAAATCACCATAAAATGGAGTAAAAACTCCCAAAAAACGCAGGTCTGGAAACGCAGCCAGAAAACAACCTTCCGGGCATCAAAATGAGAATCTGACCGTTGGATATGAAGAGGAGTATGTGAGGAACAACATACTAAAATTTGAGCACGATCGGACTTCGTTTGGCCTTCGATTCGGACGAGAAAAGTGGCTGCTGCACAGTGGCGGAAACCTGATTTTTCTTCCTCTTCTCCTGCGTTAGCTACTGCATCTTTTTTTCTCTTGCGTAGCTCCTGCCACATGCTGCCTTATCCCTTCCTTTTTTTTTTCTTTTAGTTAATAGCCACACAATATGGGCCACCAAAAAATATTTGGGCTAAAGCTTTACACACAAAAATAAGCCCAAATACAAAAGAGAGATATAATGTGTTGTTCAATTAAAATTGAACACTTCCTCCATGCAGGAGGGAAATTTCCCAACAAATCTCCCCCTCACTCCTACATGGAGTGAGCAAACAAACCGGCCCTCTCTCGACAGAACACGAGTTTCTCCTTCGGCAATGTCTTGGTCAACATATCCGAGCAATTCTCACTTGTGTGAATCTTCACAAGTTCAAAAGACTTGTCCTCCACGGCTTCTCGAATCCAATGATACCTTCTCTTAATGTGTTTGGTTCGAGAATGAAAGGCGGCATTCTTGGCAAGGTGGATGGCACTTTGTGAATCACAATGAAGAAGATAATTTTCTTGTTCCAAACCAAGCTCCTCAAGAAAATTCCTCATCCATAACAACTCCTTGCCTGCCTCAACAGCTGCTATATACTCTGCCTCAGTAGTGGACAAAGCAACACACTTCTGCAATCTTGATT